ACAAGAAGCTGGTGAATGAAAAACTGAGTTTGGCTTCGTGACTTTTTAGTATTTGACAGTTTCTGTTTGCAGATTAAACGTATCAGGAAACCAGCTGGAGTGATTATAAACAAAAAAAGTCCATTTGTCTCCAAATTATCGACGTTTGTCTTAAATCTTTCTCTTTGCCTGTTCGTTAGCTACTAGCTAGGTGAGACTGTTGTCATTGCTATAGTGACCAGTAGTCTGTGCGCGAACTGTGCGTGGTAAAAGGGTGAATTAGCAGTTCTACATTAACTCCAGTGTTCAAGGCCATTTATTGTTAAAACTTTGTTAAACGATCAGCAGAGCTTTATTTTACTCCAAAGTAGGATTATTTTATTTTTACCTAAAAATGTAATTCTGCTGTGGAGCCGCAACAGGGCAATAGAAGAGCTGCATGTTGCCGCCCCCTGGCTTAGATGGTTGTGCCACTCAGGAGCCCACAAGTCTAAATTTTTGTAGTTAGTTAGGGAGGTAAATTGGCAGCCCCCTGTTTGAGTAGTGTAGCCCCGTTTAAATTTGCCTGTTTCAATTCTGCACCAGCTGTGCAGTATGAATCTGGAGCTGGCTGACACCAAGGTACAGTGGGCATTGGTTTTTGATGAACAACGTAATGTGGATCACATGAGGACAGACAAAGACAACTAACAGTTGAATAGAAAGTAAATAAGATTTAGCAGAACAGAAGATAAAAGGACCAGATTTTAAAGCAAATTAGTTAGCTAAATAGTTGACATCTCCTCGCTAATACTTTTCTCTGCTATATAGCCAATAATAATAAGTCAGCTATTTCAGAAAAGTGATTGGATTGGCAATATAGTAGCAGAGAAAACACAGTTACAGGTTGAGGAGGGCTTGTACATCCTGCTCTGAAAACCAAGCCAGTTCTAGAACTGACACTTCTAGAAGTGTAAAAACCTCAGTATACCGCTGTGCCTACAATGATCCACCACCCAAACAATTCCTGGTCAACAGAAACTGACTAATGTTGACTAGGGTAGAACAATGGTTCCCAACCCTGATCCCAGCATACCCCTGTTCTGCACATTTCAGTGGTCCTTTAGTGCTCTAACTTTTTTCTTTTTACATCTCACCCCACTTAATCTCAACAATAGCTTGCTAATTAGCTGATTAGCTGGATAACAGAAGACAAAATGTGCAAGAGTGGGATATTGCAGGATCAAGGATGGAACTATCAAATTGGTCTGCAAGGGCATAAAATAGAAGCCTGCACCCAACTTGTACCCATGTCGTTGAGACTAGGGATGCACAATGATCTCATAATCATATCAGTACTGGCTGATATTCGCTATTCTACAAATCATTGGCATTGGGTTTGATGCTTAGATTTCAACGATATTTGAGACCGATATTTGATGAAGCATGTATGGTGGAGGAGCACTGTTAACCTTTAGGCAACACCACAGCATCTTGCACTCAGGCAAAAACTGCAGCTACTCAGGTAGGTATCTCCATGCATAAAACTCTAGGTAGGATGTTCTGATAATAAATCCTAAATCTCCTTATATAAAAAAAAACACTACCAGCATTAAAACTACAAAGCTGAAGCTGGATTCTTATTCGCCAACTTGTTGTTCTTAATTTCCTGTTACAAATGACGCAGCCAGTACATTCTGGCGCCTGAGACATCGGCAGGGAAAGCTGATAAATACTAGGGTCATTTCTACACTCTACTTGTATAAATCAAATGAAATAGCTTTCAGCATCACTTATCATGTTAGGTATCAGGTTACTAGATACAAACTAAAAAAGGCTTGGATAGTAACGTTAGCTGAGCTAACTTAACATTAGCATTTGTCTGTTTACCTAAAAGACTGGCTGCTTTTCTATGTTTGAATTTCAAGCCACATGTGATCTACTGTGGTTTTCTAAGGTCTCGATATGGCTTTAATTTAATGTAGAAAAGTGGCGCACTGTGACATGCTGAGGAATTGAACGGTGCTTGATTGAGCACCGGTGAAGACCTCCACTAAAAATAATGGTTTCGAATTTTTGGATGCTGTGCGACGCGGCACATGTGCAGTGGCTTTACAGAAGGCAGCTTGCCCAAGATGTAAAGATATGTACATGTAAAATATCGGACTTTCAGGAGAATACTTTTAGAATCCTTACTCATAAAATAAAAAAAACTTACAATATTCAAAAGAAACCCCATCAATGCATGTTTAACTATTAACTGTGGCATACAGTAAACATAATCATTAAACGAATTCTAAAGAGCAGCTCAAGTAACAACTACTTTAAACACTGCTGTTCCTACTAAAGCCTGAGTAGACTGATAAACCAATGTGATAAGCCACTTATTTATCTCACTGTTACTGAGCTCTTTTGAGGGATGATCAAACTAATAATCTCCCCAGACGTGGACATGAGTGATAAATTTAGCATAAATGTTGTACTGTACTCTTTGAGGGATTGTGGTAGCAGCAGTAGCCTAAGCAGCTGATGAGAGAGAAAATAAATAATTTTTGGAGGTGAATTTTTGCAACTTAAGATAAGTGATTTTTTCATAAAACAAATTAACAAAATAATTACATGACTGAAGTAAAAAAACAAATTCCCCTATGTCTTACCAAGACGGATTCCAAATATATTCTGAATACATTATTTTATAATATATTTTAACGGAATGCATTACTGAATACATTTCGAAAGTGTTTTGCCTAGCCCTGTCTGTAAGGCACTAACAGTATTATTATCATCAGTGTATTTTTTCTGGAATTCCTGTCAGAGAACAGCATACTTGTCAGAGAACAGCCTCCGCCCTGCTCTGATCAATTAATCTTGCTACTAGCTTGCTTTGGGTGAGCTTAACAAGCAAGGGAAAAGATTTGCTGTGACCTTTCATCAACCCAGCATATCCCTCTCATACTCCATGGTCTGATACGGGCTGATGTACTATTGAACTTTTTAAGAAAACACTTGAGTTGGTCCAAATTTGGCCTGATATTTTTGTCGGGCCCAGCCGAGCCTGGGTTGGTTGTAAGACCCTCTAAACCATCAGAAGGTGCCTGTGCATGACAACAGACGGGCTACAGTCTGTAACTGTACAACTACATAATGGATCTATAAGGTAGGTTATTCTCAAAAAGTGGAACTACAATGTAGAACTAGATATGAGCATGTGATATGTTTCAAAACTAACTACTGTAGCCACAGGTATGGGTCTATGAAAAAGATCAAATTCTGACAACATTGTCCAAACTAGCAACATTCCAAGCTACGTTCCATTTGAAGCCAAGTATGCATGGCCTGTTTTGTTTCTCTTGAGAAGAAGCCCTCTTCGTCCCCTGAAAGTCTGAGAGCTGTTTGAGAAGTGTCGTCTCTCGCAGATAAATGGTGGAGTGGTATGTGGAGACACACTTCGGTGGCAGGGGGTCAAAGAAATTCTGTACCATTAGGCCATTGCAATGTCACAGTTTGCAGTTAAAAGCTGCTTGTCTGCGGTTTACTCCTTCCCTGCGTCATACCTGTCCCAAAAATGTATCTACAAGCCCTTAAAACTGTCAGTACCTCTTTCCTGATACCCTAGAACCACGAATAACAGGCCTAAATCCACACATACTCCTTCTAATACCTTCTAATGCAGGAATGATTCACAGCAATAGAGTAGTAACAGTGTAGCTCAGGCTTTAGCTTTTATCTTCAATACGGTCAGTATTTGAATCAAGTAACACATTTCAGATGTGCTGGTTCTTGAGTTAGTAGGTGAAAGAGAGCATTCTGGTTTCTCAAAAGCACAATCATCCCAACAGTGTAACAGCAGGCGCCATCTTGAAGGATTTTGTCCATATTTGTGTCTATTTTCTATAGATTACAATACATCGTAGTGTCAGACACCACATAAGCAAGTCTATTTGAGATTACTGAACAACTCTACATGGTTTGATGCAAGTAGGTGATGATTTAGGCATGTAGCTCGTACATTGCTAACAGGTAAGCTACCATTAGTTGCTACATTAGCCTCCTAGCTCCAGTGCAAAACTATACAGGCCAACTTCAGACAATACTCGTCTTAGCTAATCAGCTACATTTGGGGTAAAAAAGGCAACTGTGTAAGATCTATTTTTCACCAAACTATTGTGATTATGTTAGCATTACTGCTACTGAATGCTGATTTGGTTAGCATTACTGCTACTGAATGCTGATTTGGTTAGCATTACTGTTACTGAGTGCTGATTGGTTAGCATTACTGTTACTGAGTGCTGATTTGGTTAGCATTACTGCTACTGAATGCTGATTTGGTTAGCATTACTGTTACTGGGTGCTGATTGGTTAGCATTACTGTTACTGAATGCTGATTTGGTTAGCATTACTGTTACTGAATTCTGATTTGGTTAGTTTTACTGCTACTGAGTGCTAATTGGTTAGCATTACTTCTACTAAGTACTGATTGGTTGGCATTACTGCCAGTGCTGATTGGTTAGCATTACTGCTACTGAATGTTGACTGGTTGGCGAGCTGAGACGCTCATTGGTTGAGTGAAGCGGTTCGTGCTCACTTATGTCATAAACATACATGAGGCATCATTATAAAGTCCTATAACCGGAGTTTAAAAGTGCTCAAAAGTAAAACAGCAGTGTTAACAACTACCGATAACAACTGAACATGGTTTAATCCAAGTAGGTGATGATTTAGGCATGCAGCTCGTACATTGCTAACAAGTAAGCTACCATTACTTGCTACATTAGCCTCCTAGCTCCAGTGCAAAACTAAAGAAGCCAACCTCAGACACCACATGTCTTAACTAATTGGCTACATTTAGGGTAAAAAAAGGCAACTGTGTAAGATCTATTTTTCACCAAACTATGGCTCCAGCAGGATGACCTCTATGCTCTGTATGGACCTGACCTCAGGTCTAAGTTCAGACTGGTCTGGTAGCTGTTGGCTTGGTGTAAAAACACCAGAGCATTGAGAAAAGTAACGTGCAGCCAGTCTCTCATCCATCACCACCTCAGGCAGCGTAGAGGCATCTGGCTGGGAGAGTGTCCGGCTCGCACTGCGGTTGACCAGAGAGGGAATGTTACACAGAACACACATCTGAGTCAGACCGGCAGTTTACAACAAATTCAGGGTGAGTGAATTCACTGAGGGATTGGATTGTGGTGTTGTTAGGCCAAAGCTTTTTCTTCTTTCCTCTGGACCTGGTTTATGTCTTGCGCACTGTTTTCTACTAGAGGTGTTAAAATGCATCAGTGGGTCGTACTGCATTGGATTTAAGATGTTAGAATCAACTACAATCTGTTATGTTTATTTTGATGAAGTATGTGTTCATTCTTTTGGTCAGAAAGCTATTTTATATTAACAAAAGCTTGCTGTAGTGTTTTTTTTACATGGGCCATTCTATCATTGTGGTGACAAATGGTGTCCCAAGATAGGAATAAGCCACAGAAAGATGAGGTCAGTGTATTCTTTGTTTTATTCCTTAAACAACTATGATCAGTTTTTATTTTAGTGATTTTTCCTCATGTGTATGAAAAAAACAGCAGGCCACACTAATGACTCCACAGGTGATAAAGCGTTATTTTTATGTGAAATAGTTTTGATGCTTGTTTTTTTTTTATTTTAAATTGTAAAAATGCATTTGAATGATTGTTGTATGCGAGAATTATTTTAAATATACAAGTATAATTTCATTTTGTCTAATGATTTTTGTCAGTGGTGTTACAGAAACATAAAATGTTTTTTAGAAAGGTCTTTTCAAATTACTTCTTCCATAGGTATCTTATAGAAAAAAAAGACCAACTCTGAGAAGATTGTCAGTGGTGTTACTCATTAAATATTCAGAGATTTAGAAATTAAAATAAAATAACTAAATGTCATTTTCTACATACAATGCAACTAAATCTTAAATAGCAGGGGGAGTATAGAGTATATTTTAGAAAAGCTCAGATTTGAGTAATTTTGTCAGTGGTTTTACAACTTTGGTTGTTTAATATAATAGACTACTTTTTACATTTGAATTACAACAACGTTCCTCCCATTTTACCAATGCAAGGTTAAAATGACCCATATACTCCGATCAGGCCTAACATTATGACCACCTCCTTGTTTCTGTGCTCATTGTCCATTTTATCAGCTCCACTTACTATATAGGTGCACTTTGTAGTTCTACAGTTACAGACTGTAGTCAGATCAGCAGATGAGCTGTTGTCTCTGACTTTACTATAAGGTGGACTGACAAGGTAGGAGTGTCTAATAGAGTGGACAGTGAGTGGACACAGTGTTTAAAAACTCCAGCAGCACTGCTGTGTCTGATCCACTCACACCAGCACAACACACACTAACACACCACCACCACATCAGTGTTACTGCAGTGCTGAGAATGATCCACCACCCAAATAGTACCTGCTCTGTGAGGGTCCATGGGGGTCCTGACCACTGAAGAACAGGGTAAAAGGGGGCTAACAAAGTATGCAGAGAAACAGATGGACTACAGTCTGTAACTGTAGAACTACAAAGTGCACCTATATAGTAAGTGGAGCTGATAGACACAAGGAGTCAATTAATCAATTCTTAAAGAATCATAATCTAATAAGATAAGGCCATAAAAAAGAAAAGGTTGATTCTAATGCATTTAAACAGCATAAAACATTGTTAGGTGGTTCATATATGGTTATTATATATCACCCAATCTAGGATAAGATTTTGTCTGTTAAATTTCAGAATAAACAGTATCTCTATGGACATCAAAAATCCTATTCTGGCCTGTTATGTAAATATTAGTCACTGGCTTTATTCCTGTAATCTGCTGCCGTGGAGTCTGTGTGAAAAACTTCGCAACAGCAGATGAGAGACTGTTTGTTTTTTTATCTGGAACACAGTGTTCTGAACCACGATGAGCAGTTCCAGCTATTATTCGATCCGGTTTATCAGATGTGGTGTGGGTGATATGTAGAGAGCTTGATCAGTGCAAATTACAGGTAGAGTATATTGAATCATGTGATACTCACAAACAGGTACTGCTGTGTCATTAGCAGAGGCGGTTTAAGAGGAGCCTGGCCACGTCCTATTCCTCCCGCTAAAGGAAAATATGACTGCAAAACCCCAGAGGGCATTGACGAGTGAGTCCTAAATGAACGAGGCTAAATGGAGCTGAAAAGCAAAAAACAAAAAGTTAAGATAGTTTTTAACTTTAATTTTGGAAACTAGAAGGATGTATTTCACTAAGAAAGCAAAGACAACTTAACTGTAAATGTCCTTTTTTCTACAACTAGTGGGTTTTGGGCAGCAGGACACTGCAGGACATTACTGCTACTGAGTGCTGATTGGTTAGTATTAATGCTACTGAGTGCTGATTGGTTAGTATTAATGCTACTGAGTGCTGATTGCTGGCATTACTGTTACTGAGTGCTGATTGCTGGCATTACTGCTACTGAGTGCTGATTGGTTAGTATTAATGCTACTGAGTGCTGATTGGTTAGTATTAATGCTACTGAGTGCTGATTGCTGGCATTACAGTTACTGAGTGCTGACTGCTGGCATTACTGTTACTGAGTGCTGGCATTACTGCTACTGAGTGCTGATTGGTTAGCATGATTGCTACTGAGTGCTGATTGGTTAGCATTACTGAATGTTGATTAATTATCATTACTGCCAGTGTTGATTGGTTAGCATTGCTGCTACTGAATGTTGATTAGTCAGCATTACTGCTAGTGCCGATTGGTTAGCATGACTTCTACTGAATTTTGATTAGTTATCATTACTGCCAGTGCTGATAGGTTAGCATGACTGCTACTGAGTGCTGATTGGTTAGCATTGCTGCTACTGAATGCTGATTAGTCAGCATTACTACTAGTGCCGATTGGTTAGCATGACTGCTACTGAATTTTGATTAGTTATCATTACTGCCAGTGCTGATAGGTTAGCATGACTGCTACTGAGTGCTGATTGGTTAGCATTGCTGCTACTGAGTGCTGATTAGTCAGCATTACTGCTACTGAGTGCTGATTGGTTAGCATTGCTGCTACTGAATGCTGATTAATCAGCATTACTGCTAGTGCTGATTGGTTAGCATGACTGCTACTGAGTGTTGGTTAGCATTACCGCTACTTAGTGCTGATTGGTTAGCATTATTGCTACTGAATGTTGACTGGAAGCGGTTTGTGCTCAGCCACATCATGAACATACGTACATACATAAACATGCATATGTACATACATAAACATACAAGTCCTATAACTGGAGTTTAAAAGCGCTCAAAAGTAAAACAGCAGTGTTAAAATGTTTTATGCTGTTCTGTGTTCAGGAAATGTATAAAAATGTATAAGCATTTCTATTTATATAAGCATAATATTTATATGTAAAAATGTATAAGCATTTCTGAACTATTATTTTGTTCTAATGCTATATGAATCCATTGCTCAGGAGCGCCCTCTAGTGTTTGACAAACCCGGAAATAAGTACAAACTATACTCCTCACTACACATTCTATGTTATTAGCTTAGCCTGCCACTTGCTTAGTTATCATTAGCTGTTGCTGTTCCACAGATGCTAATACTTCTACTCAAGTCATTTGTGAGGAAAGGAATGTACTTTCACCTCAATTCCCTTCACTTTTAGTCTCTAATTGCTTTCAGTTCTCTAATTTCACTGCTGTTGTTGCTCACCTCTCACTTTTTAGCATTAGCATTTTATTTTAGACCAAAAAAGCCAAACTTCAGCTCCTATGCTAATACATGCTGGATGTACTTTTCACTCAGGTTGTTTTTTTGGTTGCTGTACTTTTAAAGTCATTACGGAAGGAACATTACTTTTACTCAAATGTGGATTTAGGCTACAAACCCTTCATTACACTGTGGGTGATCGCACAACTGGGGTGCCGTTAAGCCCCTATAATGCTTAAGAGTTTGACTTTGTTCATCTTTATTAGCCTTTTTCAACACTGAATATAAGAAAACATGTATTTCTCAATCAGAAAGTATGTCAACCCATCTCAGGATCGATATCTCCAAATCATTTACAAGGTTTCTTTGCTGACAATGGCTTAGCACAGATTTTTAGCATAGAATTAACAAATACACAAAAACGTGGTTAACTAGCATCCATGCTAATGGCACAAAGACATTAAGGACATTCCTAATGTACTTAAAATGTGTTTTCTCTAATGAATAATTGACTTTCAACCTGTAATTTGGGTAAAAGTGTCCCCATGTACCTTCAACATGACCTCACCAGTCAATGACCATCATATGTACATATATATGTAAATTCCTGCCAGACATGTGCTTTATGGAATATTCCAGATATTTCATATGAGTGAATGTGTTCATATAACAGGGTTGAGTGAATATTAAGGTCCATTTTTCATAACCTACAATGGATGCACCCTTAAAGATTATGTTCGAATGATTGTATTTCAAGGTAAAGTGTATTTACAGTGGAGTGGGACCAGGGGTGTTGTTAGGCTAGTTTTAGGGGGGCTGTAACCCCAGTGTACATTATTATTTCAAACATCAACATTATTTTGCATCTATTCAACTGTTCCATTGAGTCTCCAAATGCACAATATACTCTGATAGCTGGGTGCAAACTAGGGGAGGTGCTGCTGCTGCTCTAATCCACCACTGCCTCGAGAGAGCTACCAGATATTGAACATAACAATAAGGGTTTTAAGCTCTCGGTTAAAATAATACTGAATTTGTAGAAGCATTGTTCCCTTAATAAATCCTCATTTTTGAGACTAAATTAAAAAAATAATTTGGAAAATATAATTTTTGTGCTGTCAAATGTCACTATGAGCATGCCTTCTAGACTATTAAACATGTCAGCCCAACTACAGAACAGACTCACACTCTGTCCAACTACAAAAACTGAGACTATACCGATCTGTAATCTCTGTATTTGAATAATATATTTAGGACCCGCAGCTTATTTAAGAGAGAACAGACAGCCATGCTTGACTTTAATACCTTTGTTTGATCTGTGATCTGTGTAGGTGGGCAGATATGGTATTTAAGTTGTAAAAGCTCAATATGTATGAGATCTGTGTGCCAACATGACCAGTAGCATTTTTGATACATTTTCTGCCTATTGCTATTTTCCAGCACATGGTTGAGCTCTCTTTTGTGGTTA